GTTCTGTTCTGTTCTGTTCTGTTCTGTTCTGTTCTGTTCTGTTCTGTTCTGTTCTGTTCTGTTCTGTTCTGTTCTGTTCTGTTCTGTTCTGTTCTTTTCTGTTCTTTTCTTTTCTTTTCTGTATGCTATCCCATCCCATCCCATCCCATCCCATCCCATGCCATGCCATGCCATGCCATCGCATGCCATCCCATGCCATCCCATGCCATCCCATGCCATGCCATATCATGCCATGCCATCCTATCCCATGCCATGCCATGCCATCCAAATGCCATCCCATCCCATGTCATCCCATGTTATGCCATGCCATGCCATGCCATCCCATGCCATGCCATCCCATGCCATGCCATGCCATGCCATGCCATGCCATCACATGCCATGCCATGTCATGCCATCCTATTCCATGCCATGCCATGCCATGTAGTGTTTTATTGCTAGAGTAAGAAAAACAACTACTTTTCGTTTTACAATGTTTTGGGTTAACATTTGTTATAGATATTTGACATCCAGTTCAATCTTTACAATGACAGTTCAATTGTAAGCTGTGGAGTAAAGCACATAAAGTTCTGGACAATGCTTGGAAATGCCTTGAACCCAAAGAAAGGTAGGACGTTTGGTGCAACTGCTTAGGTATTTTAATTTGCACTGGCATTAGAAAGGAAAAWATATATATAGAAAAAAGAAATGGTAATGAAATGAAAAACTTGTCATCGCTTATCACAACCGCAAGTACAGCAGTGGCACAGCTCAACAGGGTCGAACTGAGAGCATGAGTCACCTCTGGCAGCCACTATACAGTCCATGTATGACCCCGGAGCACAGCTCTAACCAGTTTGAATTAGCTAGGGTTGATTTGAGAGGAGGAAGGAAAAACCGGAGGACCGGAAAAACCCTTGGATTCAGAAAGAGAAACAACCAACTCAGCTCACATGCAGTGACTGGGATTTGCACCCCAGACCTCAGAGGTGAGAGGTGAGCTTTTTACCACCACRCCATCCTGACTCCCCAGTGGGCGCTATTTTCCTCAGACATTTCTGATCCCATATTCAGCAAAAACTCCAATATTTGATCATTTTCTTTAGTGCATTGGTTTGCCCAATGATTTGATCACCTCATTGGACAAATTACACTGGAAGTTGCTAACGAATTCATTTTAATAGACAATTTCTAAGATCTGCAAGTGCTTTTGTAAATATTGCAGGTGCAGACATGAAAATGAGGCATTTTGGGCAGTGTTTATAGGAAACCTTTGCAAAACATAGAGTTATAGGCAATTTCTAAAACCCTTACAGAAACTATTCATTTAAAATGAGCTATATACTGCCAGTATATTATTTTCAAAATAAAAATTTAATAATAATCCTGCTCCTGAACTAAAAGAAATTTCAAACGTTTCATCCGTTAACATAATTTCAAGGTTTGTATGTATTTTCAATAGAGGGCATGATATCTTGCCCAGAAATGCCTTTTTCAAATCCGAGCATGCAATACTTAAGGCAGCGCTCATGCATCTCAGAAAAGATCGATCCACACACTGCTCTTAGAGCTTGTGTTGCAACTTTAAAGTCTAGGCGAAGTTATTGATGAGCATTCTATGTTAAAGGTATCTTTGGCAAGGCTGGAGAAATCCAAACTAACTTGTGTCTTGCATTTGGTCCTAATGATGTCACATATTCTGGTACCTTGAGTGGTGAAATCTATAAATGGAAAGGACAAAACTTGGCTGGTTCAATACCAAGTGCACACACGGTATGCAGCAAGTTAAAAATGTTACTGCACTTGACTGTTTTCAATGCAATGCACTGACTAGGGTTAAACAGCAGTAGAGTAAGACAGTGCCAATATTGTCAATCAAATAAATTTTTTATAAAAGTAGTTACTGCATTTGACTGTTTTCAGTGCAATGCACTGACTCATTAAAGTTAATCAACCGCCAAGCGGTTGGCTCAGTTGGTTGGGCATCGGACTTTCGTGCGGGAGGTCGTGGTTCAAGTCCCGGCCGGACCAACACTCAGGGTTTTAAAATAACTGAGGAGAAAGTGCTGCCTTTGTAATTACATCTGCAAATGGTTAGACTTTCAAGTGGCTCAGAAGACCACTTTAAATGGCGGTCCTGTCTCTCCACACTCATCATTACTAACCAACATAGGAGGGACGTAAATTTAAAAAAAAATTAATTTAAAAGAACCACTGAGGACATAAAGAAACCCTGGCAGTGACCACCGGGCCTCAGTGCCTCCACTTCATACTAACCATCTCTCATGCTTGTAAATTGCACAAAAAACATCATTCACTTCTCAATGTAAAGCACCTTTAATTATATTCATATAGAAAAGGCTCTATATTAATTCATAAATCATCATCATTATCATTATCAGCAGTAGAAGACAGTGCCAATATTGTCAATCAAATACATTTCTATAAAAGTAGTTACTGCACTTGACTGTTTTCAATGCAATGTACTGACTCAATAAGTTTAATCAGCAGTAGAGGAAGACAGTGCCAATATTGTCAATCAAATACATTTCTATAAAAGTAGTATGCAATGTACATGAAAATAATATTTATTTGATTGATTATCATGGTAGTTAATTGCCAATTAACCTTTCTGGAGTTTTCCATGGTTAGGGAACTGAATTCTTTCTTTAGTACTTTCAATTTGCTTCTTTCCTTCCTTTATTTTCTTCATCATTTTTTCTTTCATAGAATCATAAAATACCTGTTTTGCTAAATATTTTCAAAAAAATAATCATGCTTTCAATTTTCCTCAAGGGAGCTGTGTTTTCTATCTATGGAGGATCTGATGGGTATGCAACTGGATCTAAAGATGGGTCATTCATTCTGTGGGACTCTGACTTCAAACCAATTGCTAAGATTGACATGGTTAATACTCTTGTGGGATATGAAGGTACTTTTTATATATTAAGCTCGCAACAGTCAAAATACATCTGTTTACTTTTAGACTTACAGGTGGTTAAGACACAATTTCATCAATGATAACTGCTGTTTCATACTCTGACAYGTAGAAACTGTAAAACCTTTATAAATAAACAGTCTGAAAAAGGTTTCATTCTTACTCATGTGGTGAACTGAACAATAGTAACCTCAACTTGTATAGTGGTATAATAATATAGTTGTTTGATATTCAACATCTCAACAGGCCTGTGCGTTAGAAGTGTTTGTTGGCAGGAGGATAAGATCCTGGTTGGAACTAATGCTGGTGAAGTATTTGAAGTTATTGCATCAAATAAAGACAAACCAAGAACTATTGTTCAGGTAATATATATTAAAAAGTTATACCTTTCAAGAGGATACCTGTGCTTGTGTGTGTTTTTACTGCTACGTTATGTAATTCCCCTATGGTTCTCCAGATGATCATGATGTTCAAATACTGCTGATATCCTTGAACATCAATCAAGTTCAATAGAATATTTGCACTTATAGCTACTAATTGAATTAGGATTTGAGTGGATAAATGTAGCCGGGACTGCAAGCGCTCTCTTTCTTCCAGGATACATTATCTTACAATGCAAATCTTAATTATAATAAAATTTCAATATCAATGCAGTTTTTTCCTATGTTATCTTTTGTATGCATTATGTTATGGGTGTAACCTTCACTTTATTACTAGTGCTCTTTCTATTTTTGAATCCCATTTTGACACAACTGCTTGGTTTAAGGAGAGTCCAAGGGTCATCGGCAAATGGCTTCTTGTCACAACAGCATTTCGTTACTTAGTCTAGGCAGTCGTTAACTGCTTAATATATACTATTTAATCTCTGTCATTTCCACTACTAGGGCCATGCTGAAGGAGAACTATGGGCTCTTGCAGTCCATCCAAAGAAGGGTATCTTTGCAACAGGAAGTGATGACAAAAGTGTTAGGTAACCTTACAATCTGTTGTATGTGTAGCCACTTTTCTAATACCTTATAATCCCTCATTCTCCAAACCAATCATTTCCATCACTATTACTGTTTAATAATCTGGATAGCACCTGACAAATTGTTATTGGGTGATAGGAATGGAAATCCTTGGAGGTTGTATACTATTTGATTTCTCTACACTTTTATGTTATTCCATTTGGTCATATGCTGTTTTCTTTTAAAGTCGTAAACTCTTAGTAGCCACTTTTTAATGATAGATTGTGGAGTATGGCTGATAAGAGTTTACTTGCAAGGACTGACCTGGATCAGAAGATAAGGTCTGTTAGCTTTAGTGCAGATTCTTCACATCTTGCTGTTGGTTTGGGAGATGGCTCATTTCGTGTACTCAAAGCAAGGTTAGAGTTCAATTATAATGGATTTTTTTATTGAGTTTAAAAGTCACTAATCTGAACTGCACAATTGGCTTGAATTTTTTAACACATAAATTCCTGTGGGCCTTTTTTGTACCTTTTGCTCCCATTCTAAAGTCTAATTTACTACTAGTAGGCTAACTTATCTAAATCCCTCTAAATCAATCTTACTGTTCAAAGAGAGTCTGGAGTCTTCTAGCTGAGTTAACCTCCATAAGAAAGCCAGACAGCATCGTATTTAAGTACTCTGTCTTATGTTTAGAATTGCATGTGCATATACTTTTATGATTTTTACTTCCTTTCGTTCCTCTCTTCCTTTCCGCCCTTCCTCCTTCCTTCCTCCTGTCCCTCCCATCCCTATCTCTCTATTCTTTATTAATAGTCATCCCTTTCATTCCATTATTCTTTCTTTCTGACTTTCTTTTTTCTGAGTCATTGTAACTAAACATTATTTTCTTATTCTGAAATAATTCCAGAGATCTTTCCGAGATTACTCATATCAGAGATCGTCGAGAAGTCATCCATGAGATGAAGTACTCCCCTGATGGTCAATACCTGGCAGTTGGATCCAATGATAATTTTGTAGACATCTATGCAGTAGCTCAGAAGTACAAGAAGGTCGGAGAATGTAAAGGGAGCTCTAGCTTTATAACTCATTTGGACTGGTCTGAAGATAGCAAGTACTTGCAGACCAATTCTGGTGCTGCTGAACGACTCTTCTATCGTATGCCAAGTAAGCCTTGTTTTAGTCAAATTCTTTTAAGTCTGAGTATAGTAGTAGAGGGGTCCTCTCTTGTTTTTCCTGAAATAAAATAAGAAAATAAACGGCTGGTGCTTCGTGTACGCGGCATAAAAAACGCCGTCCTTTTTTGGTTGGACGTTCGGTTGTGATAGTATTTTAAACATATACTCTACCTTTGTCAGATGGTAAACGCATTACGAATAAAGATGAGATCAAGACAATCCACTGGGCCTCATGGACATGTGTACTTGGCACAGAGGTTAACGGTATCTGGGGTAAATATACCGACACCAATGACGTTAACGCCACTGATGCAGCCTTCAATCACAATGTCTTGGTAACGGGGGATGATTTTGGTCTTGTTAAACTCTTCAACTTTCCCTCAGTTAGAAAAGGTTGGTGTTAGTATTCGCATATAATGACTAACGATTACTAAATTTATATTTGTAATAGGCTGCCCTAGGTGAAAAAAACTGGACGAGGAAAATTCCAAGGACTGTCAAAATTGGATGGGGTCGTAGGCGGAGTTCAATTTGGCAGTCAGAGGAATCTTTTGAGTCTAATTATATTTTAATCATAATGTGGTCCTATTCATAAATTGTATTGCTACCTAGTCCTATTAATCTAATTTGGTAAAAGCTGGATTATACTTTAATTTTTAAGAACAATAGTCCCCCATTATAATTCCCTGCGCCATCTTGAAAGGTAATCGTGCCTTTGCATCGAAGCGAGACGAGCTTGCAATGATAGAGACCTTTTTTTAACACTTTGGACAATTATTTACATGTCTCTGTCTTTGCAAGCTAACCGTTCGTCTTGCTTCGATGCAAAGGCACAGCTAGCTTTCAAGAGGGTAGCATGGGTGGCGTTCGCGGCTAACGCGTCGTTTTTAACCGCTGTGAGTCCAACGGGTCGGGTCGCTGGTTCGAGCCCTGCGGTCGCCACATGTGATTTGAGTTTGTTTGATGTGTTGTTCTCTCCTGTGCTACGAGGGTTTTCTCCGGGTTTTCCGGTTTCCTCCCTCCGTAAAAATCAACATGTGAGTTGAGCGTTGTGTGCATAGAATATTAAATGTAGAGGTAGTGTGTGTGAGCGAAAATTTCCCCCAATTAGTGCGAAAGCGCTAGAAYGACTAGACACTCAATAAAGTGATCTATTTTTTTTAAGATGGCGCGGGGAACCTTGAAGGGGACTAAGAATATAATTGGACAGTTACCTATATGGGATTAATAAGTAGCTATACAATTAATTTGTTCTTGGGGTACCAGCATACTTATAACAACAACGACAGCTAGTAGTAAACAACTTAGTAAAMATTTTTTCTAGTAAACAACAAAATGGAAAATCCTGATATCTATTTTTATGTTATTCTATTGTTTTTTCAGGTGCTAAATTCCGTAAGTACGTTGGACATTCAGCGCACGTGACCAATGTTCGTTTCTCCTATGATTTTCATCGTGTTATCAGTGTGGGTGGAGGTGATCATTCAGTTTTCCAGTGGCGATTCCTTCCAGAGGGTGTTACAGGGGATGATGAAGACCTTCCTGAGCCGGTTTCTGGTTATCTAGAGTCTGATAGCGAAGACAGTGATTCAGAAGCTTCTGATATTGGGGAACTTGACAGCGATGTAGAGAATGTAAGCTATTTCTCGTTATTATCTTGTGTATTGTAATTAAGCGGTACTGCTCTTTTAGTCTTCTTCCTATCGTTTATTACGGTTTATGTTTTTCTAATAAATATTCTTGAGCGGGGGAAAGCCAAGAAACGTTTGATCTTAATTGCTTTTGAATAAAGATAGTCAACCTTTATTCCTATCATTATTTATTATTGATTCAGGAAAAACAAATTGATTACACTCGAACCATCTACAAGGAAGACCTACCGGCCTTAAAAAGAGAATTGTCAAAGAAAAGAAAGAGTAGGATTGAACCCGAGGATAATAATCCCCGCCAGAAACCACCCAATGAAGGACTGACATTGGATTTCGTCTTTGGGTAAGTTATGAAATTTGATTTATAGCAATACTTGAAGTATTATCGTCGCCTCCACCACCACCACCATCATCATCATCATCACCTCATCTTCATCACCAACATCACCAACATCATCACCATCATCACCATCATCATCACTATCATCACCATCACCGCCACCATCATTATCATCATCACCATCACCAACATCATCATCTTCGTCATCATCATCACCATTATCATCACCATCATAATCATCATTACTGTTTATTGTGAGCTCTGCCGTAATACATGTATATAACTATGATTGGTTGTTTATTGATCAGATATCGTGGTTATGATTGTCGCAATAACGTGTTCTACACCCAGACTGGCGAGATCGTGTATCATGTGGCAGCTCTCGGTATCGTTTACAGTCGCGACAAACACAAACAGCGATTCTATACTGGACATACTGATGATGTCTTGTGCCTGGCTATTCATCCGGCAAAGGATTTCATAGCAACTGGACAGGTAATAATGCACCTATACCCTTTTTGTTTTTTTAAGATGTGGGTTCGTTAAGGTGACTGCCTACTTTGAAAGTTCGATTCGAGCCCACGATGTGCGCGTGCGCTCAAAAACCGCTGAATCATCTACACGGTTTCACTTGGGCTAAACCCTCAAATTTTGCGCAGAACTATATTTTTTTATCAGCTTATTCGAAAAAGCTTCTAAGAAATCTAGGTTACTGTATATCTTTTTTTAAAGTTAATTTTTTTAAACACATAAAAAAATGATTTCTGTAGGAATTTTTGTTCGACTTCAGTTTTTGGGAATAAAAACATGACAAATCAATGTTATTTTTCTTTGTCTTTTTGTCAAAAATATCCACTTATTATTGTAGAATGATTTACTAGCCGGCATATTCGTGGAATAAGTTAACTGTTTTCTGATTACTTCTGATAGTACGATGTTCGCTTCAAAAACTCATGATTATCTCTAAAACAAGCTCGGGACACCCCATTTTCATATTTAGAATCAGTATTAAATTCCACTTCAAAATAAAGTAGTTTAAAAGAAAGTTTAAAGTTATTTTTCAAAAGTAGCCAGTCACCTTATATTAAGGGCATTGTTCTTTACAAATTAAGAGTGCGTTTTTTTCATGACTCTTTCAGTAATTTATCCCCACCATCCCATTCCCTGCCTACAAAATATTAACWATTGTTTCCTTAAAAATACGCCTCGATTTATCTTTGTTTAAGATAAAATTCATTAACCAAGTATTAAAACAAACAAACATTATTTAGCCTAGTCCACCTGTCATAACCCAGACGTCTTTGACTGTGTGAGGCAAGTGTTTCTGAATAGGTTTGGTCCCCCCCTTGTTTCATTGTATGGTGTTAAACTTAAATTTGGGCCTAGAACAGACAGTTACATGAAGGCAACATGCAACGAAACGGAGAACTGATTAGAATGGTATATAACGATTTGCTGGACTATTCTGTTATCGTAGGTTGGTCGGGATCCAGCTATTCACGTATGGGATGCAGAAAAAATGGAAACACTCTCCATCCTCAAAGGACAACACTCAAGGGGTGTCTGTGCCGTAGACTTCTCAGGTAATCACAATTTAATAGACTTGATTCAAAGTCGTTTTGAAAATGGTGAAGTAGGAAGATACAGAAGATGTTGTACTTTGCACGTTTTACTCTCGTCCATGCACGACTTATTCTCGGTGGGGGAATTATTGCTCGTAAAAGGGATAGAGGTATTGCAGCATCACGTGATGGCAGCCATGAAAGAAAGCACAAAAATAGATCATTTCCGTCTTGGGAAACTGAATTCTTTCTCATGTAAATCAGGTTAGACCAGATTCAAGTGTTCCTACCTTCTGTCATGGCTACCATGTCGTGATGGTGCACTAACCTCTTTATAGCCATTTATGGTATATTTAGAATAACTAATACAAAGAACAATATTGAATTATAGGTGACGGTCGAAAACTAGCTAGTGTTGGCTTGGATGATAATCATGTCATTGTTGTTTGGGATTGGAAAAAGGGAGAAAAGTTAGCAACCACGAGGTAAGATGTCACTTCCGTTTTTTTAATTTTTTAATTTATTTTTTTACTTTTTTCCTCGAGATGTTTGTAAGAACGCGCTTAACAGCAAAACGTTACTGAAATATACTGCAATAATAAAATATTTAAGAAGTGCCATGTTCAATTAATCAGTTTAATTTTTTCAGCCTTTGCTGGCGAGCGTTCTCTAAGGATTGTCTTATCCACTTGTCAAAAGAGAAATATAAAGCGCCTTTTCATAATAATGATCTTTATTGGGTGAACTAATAAAGCAGTGAGCTTATTTCCAATTAGGTCCATACATTGTGCTGCCAAGTATTATTATCTTGCTTTCACGCCTCTTTTTTAGTTACCAGCCTCCCAACACTTCCAATAACTCGAAAGTGATTTTGTACGAAAGCCGAGAAGGGCCACATAATTTCCGACTTCTACGACGTATCTCGCGTGACAATCATTTTGTATTCCCGTCTCATCCTACTTGTCAATTGCCGGTATCCCAAAAATGAGCCRGAGCTATTCTCTAACTTCTGAAATACTGCTCGAACAATTTGATCATCAGAAGATTCATTTGTGTTGCTTGTGCTCTCGTTAGACGTAACTGCTAAATAATTCTTTTGATTGTCCGAACGGATATAAGAATTCCGTGGCATAAGGTTAAAAATCTCGGCATTGGTATAACCTAGCTCGAAGTAATTCTTTATAAGGTCTTCCCTTGCTAAGCAGCTGCCAGGCTGAAGTGCCGCTGTGTATGCTGGCAAAACACACGACGAAACTGGAATCTTCAACCCAAGGGCGGATCCAGGGGGAGGGTCGGAGGGGGCCGCGACCCCCCTGTCATTCCTGAGGTCAAATGGGCTCCCTGTGGTAAAAATGCGACTGGGATTCCATTGCCCACAAAATTTACCCCTGAGACCCCCCCTTTAAAAAAACCCTKGATCCGCCCTTGCAACCTATAGCAATATCAGAAATGGAAAGAAGATTGATACCTTTGTCATGACTAAAGTGGAGTATAAATACCTCTAAAAAAGCTGCAAACAGTTTATGATCATTTACCCAGCATGCTACTCTTCCTTTAAACTCAGAAGTTTCAAAGTCAGAAATTTAGTCAAAATAAGTCAAAAAGTAGAAGTCGGAAATTATGTGGCCCTTCTCGGCTTTCGTAGATTTTGAGTTTTTCCCCCACTTATCCAGATGCTTTTTACTACTTTTCAATGCAGAGGCCACAAAGACAAAATATTTGTCATCAAATGGAATCCAATAAACAACGAACAACTTGTCACCGCAGGCGTCAAGCACATCAAATTCTGGACTCAAACAGGTGGTGGTTTTACATCTAAGCGAGGAACTTTTGGTCATGCAGGAAAACACGACTCAATGATGTGTGTTACGTACAGTAAAAACCCTGAGGTGGTGTTCTCTGGAGGAGCGCTGGGTAAGGTGTATATCTGGCAAGGTAACGCATTACAGGGATCAATCCAGGCTCACGAAGGACCAGTGTTTGCTATTCAGACGCTGGAAAAGGTGAGAGAAATTCTTCCTTCTTTTAGCTTCTCATATTGATCGTAATGGGAGTAAACATTCGGGGGGGAAAACATTTTGCAGAGAGAAGAAAAACGAAAAACCCAGATAAAAATATCGATTTAAAAAAGATAATCCCCAAAAAATTGTATTCGCACACGATGGTGACAGTACCTTAGCAGCGAACAACACCTGTAATTTGTCTACTAACTGTTTTATTAACAAATAACTACTTATATTCCCCAGGGATTTGTAACCGGAGGTAAAGATGGCAATGTATGTCTTTGGGACGATAATTTCAGTCGATGTCTAAAGCAATATAAAGTGTCTCGCACGGGTCTTGCCCCCGGACAACCTGGAACCCTTATCGCTGATGTGCCGCCAATACGGGCCATTACACTGGGCCAGGGTCGYATCTTGGTTGGAACTAAAAACAGCGAGGTGAGAAAATTCTTCTTTGCATCAAAGATTCAAATAGAGTTTTCTTGCACAAGCCCAATAGAAAGGAATTGATACAGAATTTTCAATATCTAGGGTCTCAGCTAAGAGGACGCGCCCCTTCTGGAGCATAGGGCCTTTGGTTTCTGTAATAAGACTTGTTTTATGGGAGCGGATTACCAGCCCTCATGCCCCATACCCCAACCGGGAGGACCATTGATATCACTCTTTGTCTGGTCACAACCCTTCGACTTGTCTGACATGGGTGGCCCTACCAGGAGCACACGACTCCTGTCGGCATAGCTCTAAGGGTCTTTTCGGCACACAAACCGCCCCACCACAATAAGGTGGTGACCCGATCGTGACTGGCGGCAGTAAAAACCAAATTCCAACGAAAGACTTGCAACAACTGAGTTCGCATAATATTGAAAATATTAAAAAAAACAAGCTACGCTGCTAAAGGTGAAAAAAACCTTTCTTTATAGTCCTTCTTTCTTTCTCGCGTTGGTGACTGAATATAACCATTTAAATCATACATCATTTCCAGATTTTGGAGATCGACAAAGCAGGACCTATCCACATTATCCTTCAAGTAAGAAATGGAATGCAGGTTTCTTTGTAATTGAAGCTTTTTTTCCTTAGGTCGACAAATATTTACTATGCTTCTAAAACTTATTTCAGGGTCATTTAGAGGGGGAACTTTGGGGTTTGGCTAATCACCCTACAGATGATGTTAGTGCTACGGTAAGTGATGACTGCACCGTGAGGGTGTGGGATATGGCCAATTACCGTCTACTGAATGTACGTAAGTTCAAACAGCCAGCAAGAAGTGTGACGTTCTCTCCAGATGGGCGAGCCCTTGCTGTGGGAATGAAAGACGGTAAGCCACCCAAAATATAATCTTATCCTTATTAATTAAGCTCTGAGCTCATCGACCAACAAGATTTCTTATTTGTACCACGTGTAGTAGTTTGAAACCCCCATCAAATACGAGCACACCCATTTCAAAGTACTAGAACTTTGAAAAAATAACAAACATAACAAAAAGATGTGGTGTCAAATACTCGTCACTTTATTCTATTGGGGTTTCAAAATCCTCGTGGAATCTCGGCATTTGAAATTCCATTTGGATTTTGAAACCCCAAAAGAATACAACAACTCGTATTTGAAACATTACCTCTTATCATTAGTCCTTTCATCTCTTCTACCATCCGTTCTTTTGTCCTTACCTTACCTTTCCATTCCATTCCTTTCCTTTGTTTCCTTTCCTATCCTTTTTTTTATTTATTATTTTCTACCCTCAGGAAGCTTTAAGGTGTTGGATTCATCTACTCTGGAGGATATCGTCGAATTTCACCACAGAAAAGAGGAAATATCTGATCTTAAATTTTCACCAGGTAAGCTGKGTCAAGTGAAAAGTAAGCTAGATAGACACGACTACTTAGTATAAAAACATTGGTGTTACCAGCAAACTGACTTATAAACAGCTTGGTGACACAAGCACGACTGTAACTCAGTTGCGCTAAGTGTTTTTTTTTTCTTTCTTTTTTTGTGAGTTTCTATGTTTTCCTTGGAACGGAATTGTTATGTTATGATAAGCACTTCATCATTGAACGCAGTGTAATTCTAGCTTTCAGTCTCCATTCTTTTGTTTTATGGTTGTTGCTTCTGTTTTTAATCCACCTTAGAAGCCTTACCTTTCAGTTTTTATACCTCGTCAATTTGAGTGTAACCTCGTGTTATTTTAATGTTTTTTTTTTTTTGCTTCTTTGATGAGATTGCGTATACTGTACCCTCTTTCTTGGCGAGGGAGGTAATAGGGCGGGGGAGTCTCTGCAACAGATGCCGCCGATTTCTTGCAAATGTGTTGGAGCAGGCGACGACAGGATATATACTGTTCTTCGTATTAATATACATGTTTGTATCTAGGTCAAGGCAAATACCTAGCTGTAGCCTCTCATGACAACTTCGTCGATATTTACAATGTCATGAATAGTAAACGAGTGGGGATCTGCAAAGGAAGTTCTAGTTACGTGACCCACGTCGACTGGGATGATAAAGGTATTCATCAAGCACCTGTTACTAACGCTGCCTTTATGTCAATCAAAACATTTTAAGTTGCTTATCAGTTGTTTAAAGTATTATGAAGTAAGTTATAGACGCGGCTATAGTGTTATCTAATCCAGTGTAAAATAGAAGGACAAAATACCCCTGTAAGTGATGTGAATATGAAAGGCACATTATATTTCGATCCCAAAAGGCGAAAAAGAAAGAAAATACCGCGCGTGCGACTATCAGGCTTTTTCAAAGAAAACTAAATAATGAACACAAAAACGATCGGACCAGCTAGGCGTTTATTCAAACACTTTAACAACAGAATGTTTTCAATATGTATTTAGTACTGAGTTTGTTTATAGGTGTATACCTGTTGCATATCCCTATGATGTTAGTAAAGTAAGCTATAATCCTTTTTATAATTAGGAAAATTATTACAAACAAACTCTGGAGCAAAAGAGCGTCTGTTCTTTGAGGCGCCTCGTGGCAACAGACAAGCAATAGTGTCAACAGAATTACAAAAGATTGATTGGTTCACATGGACTGGGGTACTGGGTGATAGTTGTGCAGGAATATGGCCCCCTCACTCTGACATTACCGATGTCAATGCTACTGATAGATCCAAAGACAACAAACTACTGGCTACTGGAGATGACTTTGGTTATGTGAAAGTCTTTGAATACCCTGTTAAGGTAATGTCCAGTCTAGTTATTCAATGGAAAAGAGAATGAATAGGTAGATTGATAGACATAGGAATGAATGGACGGACGGACGGACGGACGGACGGACGGATAAGTGAGTGAGTGAGTGAGTGAAGGAAAAAGGGGGGAATTATATAAATGATCTATGTTTGTTTTGTCCCTGATATCCTTAAGGGAAAAAATGCCAAGTTCAAGAAGTACGTCGGTCATTCTGCGCATGTCACAAATGTTCGCTGGAGCCATGATGACTGCCGTTTGGTATCTGCTGGTGGTGCTGATACCGCAGTTATGGTTTGGTCACGTGGCCGTCCTGCAGACCGAGAGGAGACTGGAGGTGACAGTGAAGATTCAGACACAGATTCTGAAGAAGAAGGTGGATATGACAGCGATGTTGAACGAGAGAAGAATATGAATTATGCAGATAAAATCTATTCAAATCCACTGCGAACAACTAAGGGTGTTAAACCTCATTTGAGGGAAGGTGCTGGAGTTGAAGAACACAGGTATGATATACGTTTAACCGAACTATACACCTGTTTTTGGAAAGCAATGACTCCAATATATCATGCCTGCATATTTCTTTGCCTTGAGTATTATTTATTTATTAACTTTTAATGTTAGAGGAGTGACAGCAATTCGAATGCAACTCGCACCAAAAGAATATCTAATTTTTTACCACAATTGTGAATTTTCTCGCTTTCGGATTGATCTAGATCCGGAGGAAATAGGATGACATACCTATAGATTACGTCAATAAATCACGCGCGTGCTTTTTTCTTTCAAATTTCCACCTTGTTTTTGTCGTAAAATTGTCAATTATGTGTGGTAAGAAAACATGCTACGGAAAACTGGAGGAAAGCGGTTTTAAAAATAACTTTGAATGAAATTCCACACTATTCAATGATTCATTTATTCTTTCTTGTATTGATTTGCAAAAATACTGAAATAATGATTATATTTCATTATATTTCAACTTTATTAATTCTATTATTATTATTTACTCTATTTTTTTAAATTGAAAATTACCCATAATGCACCCGATATATCGATATTCGTTTTATTTACGGAATTTTTAAAGCGCTGTACATATTTATATATTAATATATATACTATTTGCAATATTTTTTTGCTGTTTTAAATATACATTTATTGAATGAGTCTGTAATCGCAATGCATTCTCCATATGGCTTATGGCTTTTCAAAACGTTGTGCTGGGTGCCGTTTTCCTAGTACTCTTTTTCAAGTGTTTTTATTTTATTTATTACTTTTTGGTCTGCACGTTAGACCAGCGGTAAGCCGTGGTTCAACTGCTCCTCCTAAAGTAAGACACATGGAAAGACAAAAAGAGCAGACCAGAAAACGAAGGCAACACCCAATACAGGTATATATATAGATATGTATTTAACAATTGAGTTCGCAGTCTGGTTGACATTGGTCAGTAGTCCAGTCGAAGCTGGCGGGTCTTATCATTTTGGTATAAACCGACTTGTTGGACAGTGAAACCCTACTGCAAGATCACCCTGCTTGCTCGTCAAGGCCAAGACAAACACCTTTGTTTTCATTTCTCAATATTGTGAATTCACTCGTCTTAAAGAAATGCTGCCTGCTTCAAGGAAAAATATGTTTCCTCTAGTTACTCTCATTTCATGCCGACGCCCTCTTTTACTGAATGAAAACTCAGTAATTTCTTCAACCTAGGGTATTTCAGTATGGGAAAAAATATCCTAGCTTTCGGTGCACTACTACCTCATACTCGTGCACCTCTATCACCCTGACCTTCCTTTATGTTATTTTTCAAGATTTTCAACCATTTTTGTAACATTTTATTATCCCTTATGATTAGCCCCAAAAGCTAGGATTAATGTTTCCATAGATTTATACCCTAGTAGGAAGAAGCCATTGTAATTGCAATAAGATTATTATCCAGAATCGCTTTTCGAAATGGCGAACGGTCCTGTAGGTCTCTAGTAGATCTTTTAATGCTGTTACTGTGGGTGTATTATGCAGTGGTTGATAGTATATCTATTGTTTTGTAGGACCTTWCTCTTGAGTTCGTCCATGGCTACCGTGGTTTTGACACCAGAGATAACCTACATTACTTACCGGATGGAGATATCGTTTATCACGCGGCTGGAGCATGTATCGTATTAAGTACTGCTAACGGTGTACAGTCATTCTACCTTGAGCACACTGATGACATTATATGCCTGTCTGTCAATCAGCATCCCAAATACAAGGTATTTCTTAATTGTTAACTAAACCTTTCAATGCCCTTCGTTATTCCACGAAATAGTGCATAGACCATAGGCAATTGCGTTTGGTTATATTTCTAGAATAGTTGTATGTTTGTGAGAAAGACATTCAAAGGGGGTTTGTTTTGTTGTTGCTGCTGATAGCGATAATGCTGGTGTTAATGACGATGACGATTATGATGATGTCGGTGATGACTATTAGGATATCAGATTGTAGTTTTAGTTGTGAGTGACTTGGTACTTGAGGATGTCATGAAACTTCTGATGCCACTTATTTTTAACTTTCAGAATGTGGTTGCCACGGGTCAAATAGGTAACGACCCCTGCGTTCACGTGTGGGATGCTGAAACCAAAGACACCCTGTCAATCATTCAAGGCTTCCATGGTGTTGGTGTCTGTGCAGTGGACTTCAGCTGTAATGGTAAACTTCTGCTAACGGTTGGTCTCGAAGATTCTCATGGCGTGGCTATCTGGAAATGGACTGACGGTCAGTGTATTTCTGCTTTACTTATTCGTTTGCACATTTTTCATTATATTTTTCATCCTACTCAAGGCGTTCTTTATTATGATAATTAAGTACATACGGTCTACCAAAAAACGAGGAGAGCAGCAACAGCATTTTTAGTCGCTTTTTTTGTATTTTCCGAATCCTTTTTTCAACAAAAGTCTGTAATTTCTCTGTACRAACACTGGAAAATCTCTATTGTTTCGCTTCGAGCTCCATTTGTACTGAAAATTCAAGCAAAATATCTGCTCCTGCTCTGTTGTTTTTGATTGGTGCAAAATATCACGCCATCAGCGATTTTTTCGTTCTCATCACGTGCACTTGTTTATTTTCACGATTATTGTCACGTGCAACTTATTTCACGGTTGGGTCCCCCATTATAGTACTTTATACCTTTTTTAATACCTTGGACAATTATTCACATGTAGTCTCTATCATTGCAAGCTCACCGTTCGTCTCGCTTCCATGCAAAGGCGTGGCTACCTTTCAAGATGGCGCAGGGAACTGTGAAAGGGTCTATTGTTAAATAATATAGGTCCTCATTTTGTCCTTTTTTTCGCGGAATGATGAGTTATGTCGGGCCTGACTGCTAACAACTCATTAACTAAAGTATTTTTTCCCTTAATAGGCAGTAAACTTGCTAGTGCAGAAGGCCACACAATGCGTATTTTTGTGGCTCAGTTTCGGCCTGATTCGGACAGTCATTTTGTGACGTGTGGTGTAAAGCACGTCAAGTTTTGGACGTTGACTGGAGGGCAGCTAATTGGAAAGCGAGGTATCATTACGTCAGTGCAGAGTGGTTCAATTGAAGAACAAGCGAAGATGCAAACAATGCTGTCAGTTGCTTTTGGCGCGGTAAGTTTCATATATATTCAAATGAGACAGCTGTCGATCACGATAATGTGTTCTAACAAACTCAACGGAGTATTGCTGGACTTTCAGTGCAAGTCGTATTAGAACAAAACTTCATTGATATCTTAACATAGTTTTAAGGTAATGCAATTGCTCAATTTCTGTCGATATTTTTTTTCAATTAGTATGTAAGCAGTTTTTTGTTTTTCATTTTTTGATAATGTTTTGCCTTATGACAGTACGCTCAATGTCTTGTCTGAGGTACGCGATCCCACCAGGAAACCGTAAAAGGAAAGTCTGTGCTTTTGATTAATCTTCGACTCTTGTGTTATGATTAGGACGACCTGACGTTCACTGGTGCTATGAATGGAGATGTTTACGTCTGGTCAGGACACAAGCTTGCTCGTGTAGTCAGTAAAGCGCACAATGGTCCCGTGTTCACTATGTACACAACACTCAAAGATGGACTTATTGTTACTGGTGGCAAGGAGAAAAAGTAAGAAACAAAACCTGATGTGATGTCTATTTTCAAGCTTGAAGTGTTCATTACTCATATTGAACCCTATTATTCTAGAACTAGGGTTAAGGATAGCATTGTGTTGATGAATTATTCATATTCTATAACACAGACTGCTTGCTAACTATCTACGGATGGTTATTGCTAGCTTGAGATCTTCACGAAAACACTCGAGAGAGGGAAGATAATTTTTAGCTTTATTATTACACATAAAATCCAGACTCGTACCCCGTCATTTCTCTTATTCGCGCTGTGGTTGATGGGAAGGATTTAGTGAGTTCGTGGTGTATCAAGGGAAAGAAGGAAGAGAATAGTGAAGCCCAGTCGCTTCTCGCTTCTTTTACTCGGGCTGTGGTTGGTGGGAGGATACTTACCTTGTAATTTAACTCACATTTATATATATATATATCAAATACTTAAGAAATAAAGATAATGGAGCTCCCATCAAGCTTTGGGACCAGGAGATGAAGCGATGCAAGCCATTCACTTTAGGGAATATTTCGGGCTATAATGTTGTCAAGTCCGTTTGTAGAGCAAAGGTAAAGAAACTGATGAGATTTCCAACCTAACACTATGATATTAATGGTATATAATAATGCAATGACATCAAAAAGGTATTATCATACACCTATTTAAGGATACCACATATTTTCAACAGGGTAAAATCTTAGTAGGCACAAAAGACAGTGAAGTTATAGAAGTTACTGAGAAGACAACATCTGCTCAGGTGATTTAGACTAATTAATAAATCTCAAATTAATTAAGATTAGTTCTTGTCTTCAAGTAGTATGCTAAAAGCTTCTATTTTTTGCTTTTACTCAGATCCTTATCCGTGGGCATGGAGAAGGAGAGATCTGGGGTCTAGCATGTCATCCTGAAAAAGAAGTATTCGCCACGGCTAGCGATGACCAAACAGTCAGGCTATGGGACATCACGAGTAAGGTAGGAATGTATACCATTCAAGTTCTTGTATTTGGTATGCACATTATAGTATCATTGCACTAGCGTTACMTATATGCCTTTTTTTACTATCGGCTTTATCTTACTGATATCCTACTTTCATCTTGTTATTTCTTTTTTTGACATTTTTTTTTATCTTGATAACTTGGCATGTTCTCGTATTGTTTTCAGACCATGGTGGCAAAGACTAACGTAGGTATGGCTGCACGATCCGCTGCATTCTCTACAGATGGTGAAATGTTAGCTGTTGGTCTAAAGAACGGTACCTTGTTGCTGATGAAGACTATTGATCTGAAGACAATCACTCAGAGACGAGACAGAAACGGCGCTATTTCTGATGTCAGGTACCTATCAAACATGTCCATTTACGAGAGGTTCCATTCAAGCCTGCAATGTTATGTTTTCGTTTAGTGTTGTTTATGGATATTGGGGTATTTGTATATAGCGGCTAGCGATAATTTGCATATTTGTGATTTCACAGAGTTTTGAGATGCTGCCGTGGTTTTGTTTCGTTGTGTTAGAGGTTTTTTTGGTTTGCAGTATTTGTTTGCTTTTGTTTGCTACAGTAGTCGTTTTCCTTTTCAATTTCGTTGTTGTTTTTACCACCAGGTTCAGCCCTGACAACAAGTACCTTGCAGTAGGTTCGGAAGACAAGTGTGTAGATCTGTATGAAATCCGCGAAGGCCAACCCCTCAAACGAGCAGGATACTGCAAGGGAATCCCAAGCTTTGTCACTCAAATGGATTTCTCAGCTGATGGTCGCTTTATTCAGGTAATTCTTGCTATAAGAGTCTTCTTTTACCTCCTCTACGGGCGAGAGAAGGAAAGGAGACTGCCGAAATCGTGTCTTTTCTTTGAAGTCGCTGTCACCCAAGATTTGAGGCTAGTCAAACTGGTTTTACTTCCGGACAAACTGGTTTACATAGGCACGACTGAACTAACGAATTAAACCGATGACCAAATCTGCGCCCACAAGCATAGTATAATGGCGACCGAAGTTAGCGAAGTTATTACAAAGGTTTTTGAAAAGCTTTTTTCCTTCTAAATCTTTCAATTTATCTAAAGCGATTATGGAGTTTATTACTGGTAGGGATACCTTCGTATCTTTACCAACAGGACATGGGAAGTCCTTAAGTTATCAACTCGCCATTTGCTTGGAGAAGGGACCAGCAGCCAACGATGGGTTTCAAGATAGAACTTTTCCTGAAAAGCCACTCTGCAGAATTCAACAGATAAATCGACTGAGCAATCAATCAAATGCTCGAGTTTTTCGTGAAGACCTTCGTAAGTTTTCAAAATGTACGTACTCTTAACCACGCCGACTTGGTAAATGCCACAACAAAGGCAAGTCGTGTCTTTTTCGCTACTTCTGCTGGTCCTCCTCCCTTTCTTCAAAGGTGTCTAAGGTGAAGATTTGTTTTCCAACTCTTTAAAGGATGCCTTTTGCGGCGTTTTTAGGGTATGTTTGCATTCTAGAATAGAAGCGTGATTGTCCCCTCATTTGTATCGCCCGCGAAATTTACCGGGAACGGAAGTAATATTTTTTTCCGAGTGGGCGTAGAAATTAATTCGTTTCTAAGCAACCGTCGCGCATGCTCAAATGAAAAAAGACACAATTTCGGCAGAGTCTCCTTCCCTTCTCTCGCCCGTAGAGGAGATAAAATGAGACTCTGCTCGCAGGGTATGGAACTGAAGGTCAAATCAAATAAGTCACACTCAGTTAGGGCTAAAAGCGATTAGTAGAAAGCTACTTATGATCTATTACAAATCCTGCGCTCTTATTGGCTGTATTACTAGTGGTCTTTGGCAGAGCACTAGTAGCGGAAAATAGCGGCTTTGAAAACCAAACAACACAGCAGCATTGTTTGTATCATTCATTTTACCAATAAGTAACTTTATACATAAACAATTAAACTTCTCGCTATCATGGTCTACAAGGCATTGTTTCATAGACCATCTGTGCTGCTGAACTAATCGTTAGTCTCATCAAGAAAGAGAGGGAGTAAGTAGTGTTTAAAAAACGAGTAGGAGTGTTTTATCAGGTATAAAAGTACGAGGCGTAGCCGAGTGCTTTTAGTACCTGATAAAACACGATCTACGAATTTTTTGAACTGCTTAAAACACTCATGAACAATTTATTTGGTTTTGGTTCAACTGGAGCCACCATACACGTCACGAACATGGATTTTTATACTTCGATAGAGATTTGACGTCATGGGCATGCGCAACCAGATTCAATAGAAGCTCCCACACGTTGGATATTGCGTGCCAAGGCAAAGGCAGGCACGTTAGTCAAAGATCATTAGGGTTGACTATGACCTTGATGAAGCTCTATGTCTTCATCTAAACTTGGATGCATACTTCATCCCTGATGAAGTCATCCTCATAGTATATTCGAGTGGTCTTTATATAAAGATCACATGTGTCTTTATATAAAGACACATGTGTCTTTATATAAAGACACATGTGTCTTTATATAAAATCACTTGAATACTAATGAAGAGGACTTTATCGGGTATAAAGGTTCATGCACGTGACGTGTATGGTGGCTCCAATTGGACCATAAGCTTATGAATTATTAATGAGTGTTTTAAGTAATGTTTAATAATGTCTTTCTTTTTTCAGGTTTCTACAGGTGCGTACGAACGCCTTATATTCTCTGTTCCTGACGGTAACCAACTGAAAGACACTAAACAAATCAACAGGATTACCTGGGGTACCTGGACAAGGTAAGGTCAAAAGCTACTAATACGTACGTTATTTAAAATTCATCTTTTTCGCCTTATTTTCAAAGTAGCTAATAATGTTTCCGATTTGGTGTTGAGATTTATGGCTAAATACCAATAATGAAATTTTACCACTCAGAAGAGACAGGGAGCAGTATTTTGCTGTTTCTGCTGCTAACGACGATTGTGATGATGAAAATAAGACCTAAAAGTCTATTAAAATGAATTACAAAAAGCGGCACACATTGTCGACTCCTTGCAATTACATTTTATCTTGACATCTCTTTATGGTGTGATMTTTTCATAGTGTACTTGGTAACGAGGTAATCGGAGTATGGCCTCGTAATGCAGAAAAGGCTGATGTCAACTGCGCAGACTTGTGCAAAGCTGGTGCGTCATTGGCTACCGGAGATGACTTTGGTTTTGTCAAGCTCTTTGACTTTCCAGTGACGGAAAAATATGTAAGTTGATACTGCTCACCCAGTTAAAAGGAATCAGAAACTTTGTAATTGGTGCATAATCTATGCAAAGACCTTGTGTTGGCTTGCCCTGGCTGTGCTACTGCTGCCCGTTTTGTAAACTTTAAGAGAATTCAAGGTTAATGGTGATATTAGAGACGGAATCATGTTACATAAGTCTAAGCGTTTGTTGTTCAATTTTTTTCATCGTTTAGGCAACCCACAAGAAGTATGTTGGTCATTCAGCCCACGTGACTAATGTTCGTTTTACATGTGATGACCGTTATCTCATAAGTGCTGGGGGAGATGACTGCTGGTGAGTGCGAACTGAGATCACAAAATAAACTGTTCCCATCTCATTTATAACTTTCTTAACACCTTAATTGTATTTTTTGAATAAAAAGTTGTATTTTGGTTGTCATTTTATCCCAGCATATACTTGTATGAATGATTGCTTTCTCAACAACTAAAATAACAACGCTCTTATATATTTCTTATTACCTTATTTGCAGTGTCTTCGTTTGGAAGTGTATATGAAAACAATTTCTCGGTAATTCCTAGCTGGCCTGCCTGAATCATGTCACTATTGAAAATACATTAATTTGCGTTATAATTACTAGGTAGATTCAGTTTAATCTTTGAGTAGRACCCTAAGTATAAGTAAAATGAAGTCACTGAAAGGTAGGTAGAAGCCGCCCTTTTATCATATAGCCAACTGATTTGTTTGAACGGAAGCAGTTCATTTGGCGGCAACTTCAAAGTTTTTCAGAGTTGAACCAACTTAATAGTATCAATGCGCGCCGTCAGTAAAGACCACCCGAGTACAATGTGTATGAGAATAGACAACACTCAATCGACGGAGTAGGTCAGAGAGTAAGCCAGAGACTGAGCATATGCCAACGCATTGCTTTTCGCTTTGTATTTCGTGCACGCGCGCTCTGTTTTTCCATTTATTTCTCAGACAGATTAGTCACCTTCAAAGTCGGGGTCAGTTCTGGAATAAATTCAATTATAAATACTACTATTGCTATTTAATGTCTGCAGTGAGACTGAAAGGATTACGAGTCAATAGTTTTTGGTCCTCCTTGCTATTTATTATAAGAGAATAATATTCTCCTAAGATTCTCGTACCGTCGTATTAACATAAACTTGTTTCGGTATATTTAGTGTTAATATAACTCATATATACAGTCAATTCAAAAAATGTTGTCGTCAACCAACTCAAGCCTACGCGACTGGACCGAAAGGATCTCTGGGTAGCAATCATTGAAGCCGAGTTGACTCCATAATTTTATCTGAGTAGTTTTTTGAATTGACTGTATGTATTCATGGGATTTCAAAAGTATAATTCAGTAGATCTTATTCCAAGGGAAAGAAAGAAATGAAAATGAATTGTAAAATGTCGACCARAATAATGATATCTGTAACATCAAGAAAATGGTTTGTAGTGTATCTCATGTTCTTATTTCCCTGCCCCTGATGATGATGCTTTCGACCACCCACCTCCCACCTCCCCCCAC